TGAAAAAATTTTGACTCCGTCGAGATCAATATTTGATTAAACGCAAACTTGACGAACTGCGAAAAGTCATTTCACTTACAGTGTTGTCACTCAGAAGTTGTCTTATAGTGAGCGGTGGAACAGTACTGCTTTCTCGAAAAAAGACCGTGAAAAGAAGAAGCGGAAGGTTCATCATGCACGCTGCTGCGCCTGATACTCATTGACTGCGAACTTTTTCTTTCCGAGCTGTCTTTTATACCTACTTTTGTCGTAGTTTTTTGTGCATATGCAAATGGAAAAAATCCGACAGTAAAATTATTCCTTTCTTACGGTTTCTGCATAGCAAACAAACAAAATTTTTCGTTTCACATTTTTTGCATAACAAATTATTTCTTTGCATATGCAAATGCAATCGCTGGCGACGCGATTGCAAACATCACGCGTTTTTGCAGTATTTCAAGCTGTAGTAAGATCGCTTGGGGTCTCAGCAGTTAAAGTTTAGGACAGACTGATGTTTGAAGCTCAGGAAGTCAATTGTGCAACTACTTGGTACTTGGCTAAGGAATATTCTCTCAAAATTTCAGCTTTCTAGCTTTTCTGGTTCTCGGCTCGCCAAAAATTTTCACGAGGCTGCACATGTACTACTGGGTCCTCAGTTTGCAGTTTTTCAAGTTATGCATGAGTCGGGAACATTCCCTTGAAATTTCAGCCTCCCAGCTTCTCTGATTTTCTCGCCAGAAACTTCATGGGCCGTACATGAGAGCCATGAACATTTGGAGGTTGAATTTGAAATCTTTGAGTCATATATGGACTGGGAACATAACCGCAAAATTTCAGCTTTCTAGCTTTTCTGGTTCCCGAGTTGGTGATTTCCCACCAAGACTTTTACGCACTCGTACGCAGTACTCTAACTTGCTTAAAGGTTGGTACCACGGCGAGAACCCACCGGCAAAATTTTGGCGCCGAAAGTTGCTTGTCTGTCAAGTTGAAATACATAGATTTTTTGTCAGAATATTCTTACAGTATTCTTACATGAAAAAAAATGCTGTCGAATATGGGAATCTGAGAACTTACATATTTACTAAAATTTGCACGTATCAAGAATATCGAGATCGTCCAAACAGCAGTATGTAAAAATTTGATGTTTTCAATGATGCCTGAGCACAGCGATGCGGGTTTTTCAATGGGGAATGCTCGAAAATTTGCATATGCAATTTAATACCAAAAATGTAACGTAATAAAAGGGGAAGACTTCCGCAAAATCTAGTTATTGTACTCAGTTCGGAGCTGTAAGGATGGGCAATCCACCACCGAAAGAAGACGAATGGGCGTTCGGTCCAATCGGTTCGCCGTTCCCGGATAATCCGGTTCGAGCGCTTGGCCAACAGAATATGTACGTGGCCTTGTGGTATAAATATGGCGTGCCGATGCACGGTCGTGCATGGAACAACGGTGGCGTTCTGGAGTGCTCGTTCCCTTACAAGACAGCCGAGTTGTTTGGTGTCAAAGATCTTGGCGGTCAGATTCAGGTTTCTCATTCGCTTCTTCACTCCAGTACTTCATTCTGGCAAC